TTCTGAGATTCTATGAATTTGCAATAGGAATCCTCATTCCTGTGGGGCTGAGAATGACTTCTAGTTGAACACATTTTTTACAGGATAGATAAGCACTACAACCTCTTGCTTTGCTGTTTTCCTTACTTAAGCTCCAGCAGGGAAACTGTGCCCGTGAGACATTTAAGGATGTGTTTAACATGATTAGCTGGAATTTTGACATCAATAATCTTAAAATCATGATGCCAGGGAAGTGCAGGGAAGTATTTTGGGATGGAGAGAAACCTGTGCTTGAGCATTTTTATGAACTCAGGCTCGTAGAGGATACAAATTAGTGTGGCACAGTATAAAACCTTTACAATTGAGTTCTTTTCCCTGTGTCATCCATAGATTAACCACTTAGGAAAATTGCTAAAATGCTCATAAATCTTTATGCCATCCCACAGAGAGCTTCACTTCTCCCTCAGTCCTCAGCAATTTGCTGCAGTTTCCCCTTTAACTTTTCCTACCTTGATACACAGCCAAAGCCATATTTTCTCTCATAAACTTCTAATAAATTCTGCTGCAAATATGATAAAAACCAAAGATATTTATGAACACTGGAAGTCACCCTGTGTCCCAGAGCCTGACCCCAGCAGTTTACATGGAAAATATTTATGTACTGGCATAGCTGTCGTTGCCTATTTATTCTTTTCTTCTTTGATTTTTCTTGGGGGAACTTTGCGTGGAGCTTTCTGGATTCTCGTGTTTGTGATATCACTAACAGCAAACTCTTGTCTGGTGGATATTATCAGTGTGTTCATGTCTCTTTTTCAAGGGACATTTATTTTCCAGGCACAATCCAGATCATCATTTCAGAGCTTTAGCACCCAAGTTGTTGGGCTCCACTCTCACGACGTTTTTTCCCACTGTGTGTGAGAAGAGCACTTGAAATAATGTTATTAACCACCAATATTTGCTCAATCAAAGCTTGTTTGTCATTAAGCTTTTGGTCTTCCCAGGCTGTGCAAATACTGCCAAGACACACTTAGCTCTTCAAAAAGCATTTAAGGAAAGGCTGAATGTGCCTCTGTCACAACCATCTCCTCGTGTCCAGGCAGCTCACAAACCTCGTGGATCTGCCCTTAAACAGCTGCTTCCTGGTTCTTCATTTTAGGGAATAAATGCAACCCCTGGGAAATGCCCTGATAAAAATGATAGATACAAATAATAGAGGAAATTTCCTTTTTTTTTTTTTTTTTGGAGATTCTCTCTTAAAAATTTCAAATTTCTCAAGTGGGGGATTTTTTTTGTAAGTCATGGCGTGCTAGTTAATATTTTAATGGACATTATGGGACCTCAACTTTCCTGCCTTTACAAGTGCATGGGAACTACAATTAGCTGAAATGTCTTTGCCTACAGATGTAAAGGAATGAGGGCAATGAAAGTGGGAAGAAAAAATACTTTGATCTTGATTCTGTATCAGTGAAATCTTGTGAACATGGTCTTGAAAGACAGAAAATGCAGGGAAAGGATGTCCAGTGAAAAAGGATCTGGAAATGATGACCTAAAATCATCAGTCACAAGAGAAGAGCATGGAAAGGATCTTTAAAGTCTCCTTAAGGATCAGCCCTGTGAAAACTGCTAAAATTGTCCCAGTCAGGAATGTGTTTCCCTGCTCCAAAGCAGTGTTTCTGTTTCAGATGTTGTTTTCCAGTGGCTCCCTGGAACATTCCAGCATTCCCATCTGCTGCTTGTCAAAATTGGCTGCACTCTGTGCATGGCAAGAGACTCCTCGGGCTCCACTAACGGTGTTAATTCACATTCAGGGCAGTTTTCACTCTCAAATACTTCAAAGGAGATTACTCCTAGGACTGGGTGAGCCAGCACAGGTATTAAATTGGAACTAAGTCTAATTACCTGTGTTGTAACAATTTTGTAATAATGAGCATATTTTTGCATTTCAATAATATTTATTTAATATTTAATAATATTTATTTCATTGGTCTCTTTTAGGCTTTCATAAATATCAATATATTCCTTAAATTATTTCTCTGTTCTGATCTTCTGATCTTCTGTACATCTTTGAATTTCACCTCTTATATTGGTTTGCAAGCCCATAAAACCACAGCAATAAACTCCAGCATATGAAGCTCAGTGTTCAATTTTCCCCTCTTCCTTTCATTTAAAAAAAAAAATCAATTGCTATCCACATTTATCTAATGAAAGAGAGCACCACAGGGCACAGAATCCAGTTCTGGTCCTGCTTGTTAGAGATCACAACCTGAAGCCATCTGTCTGATTAAAATACATTTTCCCTGTTCTTTCTTGTCACCATTTGCTTGTGACTCAGTGTATGGTTCAGTGTTTGCCACAGACAATGATTAAGGATGGGTGAGCCCCAAAAGATAAAACAAGAACAGGCCTGAACTCTTACCTGAATCTCATCTCCTATGGCTTTTTTTTTTTTTTTTTTTTTTTAAGGCAGGTAAGTGGGTGGAGAATTTTTGGAGAAAAAAAAAAATAGTTTAAATTTTGATTCAGCAACTGCTGGCAGAAAAGATTTGGCAGAAAAGCTGTTATTAGCAAATGCTCCCAAAATAAAGCCCACAGGTTGCTCTCCATGGTTTCACTCCAAGTATTTTGTGTAGATTCTTCTGTGTGGACAATGAAATTAAGTGTTTTGCAATTGTTTGTTTTGCAATTGTTTGTGAAAGAACTACAGGATGAGGAACTGTCTTTTCCTGAGTCCCATTCTGCTTTTATTGGAAAAATTATGTTACATCTCACGTGCAGGTTTTGGTCTCGAGTACACATTTAACTGAATTATAAATCACCCCTAAATCACAGAATACTCTGAGTTGGAAGGGACCCACAAGGATCATCGAGTCCAACTCTTCAGTGAATGGCCCCTGTGGGATCAAACCATCCCAGGGGTGTTCCACAGCACTCTAGAACTGGGGCAGAGGTGACACAGGCTGGTTCCAGGACCAGCTGCAGAATATTCTGAGAATTACACACAAAAATTTGAAGACTTACTCATGACTCCATTCAATAATCCCATTACACGTGAGAGTGGTGGACACGTCGGGAACAAGATGTACTTGTAAGAAATCAGCAATCCAAGAGGGTCCAAAACCTTTACCAGGAATTAGGAAACATTTCTGACCCTCTCTCCACCACAGGCTCATTTCTTCTCTCAGGGCATGAATGTTATGAAACACAGCATGGCAAAAAATTAACACAGAAATTGGAAATGAGCGTTCATATTTGGAAATAAGTGAAATTTGTGCCATGTGCTGCGGGAGGGAGCTCGGTGTGAGCTCAGAGATACTGCTGGACATAAGAGAACGCACACATGGGATCAGTGTTATGAATGAAAGCCACAGCAAAGAAAATTTAAGGAGTTCAGTGGGCAAAAGAGCTCTACAATTTACGGTCTCCAAAAATAACCATTCTGAAAGAGTGAGTCAGAATTTCAGGGCCAGGAACTCCTCCATCCTTTTCTAAATGTGTAGGATGGGCCGAACCTTCCTGGGAGTGCTGGGCTTGTGAAGCAGCAAAACGGAAAAAATCCTGAACCTCGGAATCAGAGAATGTCCTGAGTTGGAAGGGACGCACAAGGATCATCAAATCCAACTCCTGGACACCCCAACAATCCCAGGAGTGTTGTCCAAACCCTCCTGGAGCTCTGGCAGCCTTGGGGCTGTGCCCACTGCCCTGGGGAGCCTGGGCAGTGCCAACCACCCTCTGGGGGAGGAACCTTTCCCTGAGATCCAACCTGAGCCTGCCCTGGCACAGTTTTGTGCCATCCCCTCATGAAGTGCTGTGTGAGCCCCTGGAGCCTGGGAAAGGCCAGCTGGGAGGAGATTCCTTCAGAATGAATGATCCAAAAGGCCCAGGCAATCAGTTTTTATCCTTATGAGCATCTTTGCTCCTGAGTAGGATCCCAGGAGTGGTGGGTTGTGTTTTTAGTGTCCTCAGGGAAAACCTTGCTTTCTAAATCATCCAACACCAGAGCAATTCCATCCTTTATCTAGAAGACAGACCTGAAAGTTAAAGATTCATCTTCCTCTCTCCCCCTGTGCCACCCACCCCACAACTAAAAAAACTCCGAGGGAACCCAGCAGTGGGGGGCAGGCAAGGGAGAGGCAGGTTTTTAGTGTCAGGTAGGAGGGAAACCGGTGTTAATGAGGATCCTTTCACTGTGATCTTTTCTTTTTGCCACCAGCCTGAGGTTCAAGGGTAGACAGAGACAAAAAAGAGCTCTGCCAAGGTCCCAGCTGAGCTCTCTGTGTGTCACTGACAGCTCTGGGATGGGAAGCAGGGAAACCAGGAGCCTCACAAAAGTGTTGGGTTATCTTTACACACGGACAGCCAAGTAATCTCTTTTTTTATCAGATCTGAGAAGAAAGGGAATCCCTCTTGTGTGTTCCCTTCAGGCTTTTATCTCTCCTTTTCCTTTTTTTTTTTTTTTTTCTTCACAAAGACTCAGGCTACAACTCTGCTCACTAGATTTTTCTCTTGATTTCTCCACTCTTCTCCCTATGGAGTAAAAAAGGATGTAAAGGAGATCACAGGTTTGAAACGATGGGGATATGCCAGACCTTGTGTTTGTGTAAATCTGGATTTTTCAGCTGATTCCAGTGGAGTGGGGTCAATTTACACTAACCTAACCAAAACCTGCACATGAAACGTAACACACTAATTTGTGTAGGAGCTACTAGAATTTAAACCCTGCTTGTGATTCCCCTGGTTTGATGTAAATTCGCTACTATTTCACAACGCTAAAATAATGGGGATGAGGGGGATTAAAACTCCTGCTAACGTGCTCTGCTGATGCCGTAAGGAAAATATTCTGCTTTCTGAGTCATTCGCCCTGAGCTGACTTTCCCTTTGAATGGTTCAGGGGTTTCCTTCTTTAGCCATAAATTGCATGCAAATTCTTTTTCTGTGTGTGTGTGTGCTGTGTATGACAGCGTGTGTCTGGGAGGGTGCGTGTGCCTCTTTCAGAAGCAAAGCCAAAGCGAGGGGCTGTTCCTTTAAAGCAACACCGAAAGAAAAAAAATGCCTTCAGGCGTCCTATTACAGTGGAAGGAGCCAAGGATCAGGATTTGCAGCTCAGCTATATAAACCCGGCAGGATCGGGCTGATGTGACCAGTTTGCTTTGCTGTCAAAGCTCTCCGTGCTTCACACGCTCGCACCCGGCATCAGGCAGCGCAACTTCGCCGAGTTTTGACAGGACGGCAACAAAGTCGGGAGCCGGGAGCTGATTGAACATCTTATTTATTTCATGGAGACTGCGCCCAGCGGGATCTAAGCTCCGGCAGAGGCTGGAAGGTAAGTCTGCTTCCTTCCTGAATAACAAAAAATCAGGAGCTCTTCTCCCCCAGTGACCCAGTGTTCTGTCATGACCCCCATCAGGCTGAACCGTCAGGGATCCTCTCAGGGAATGGTTTGGAATGGGAGCACGCCTGGCTTTGAGTTTGTCTTTATTGTCCGGTGTAACAATGTCAGAAATGTCCCAGTCTGATCCAATGAATGAATGGAGCAGGAGTTAGATCAGTGCTGGACATCCACAGAAATACAGAGGGAAACCTAATTATCAGGAAGGGTAGGAAAGCAGATTTGGGGTTTCCTCTTGGCTGCTGGAGTGATAGAAATATTTCCCCCATCCTCGCTTCATGAACCAGACGAAAGCCACGTGCAGGTCCTCACTCCCAGGTAACTCTTCCTGCTGAGCTCTTTGTGACCGGATGAGAGTCGGGCCCTTTTCTGTGTTAATTTACTCTCTGCACACTCCTTTTCACCGAAGCCTTTGTCACCTTCCTCCCCACCCCCTCGGGGCTCCAGTTGCTTTTAAAACTCCGGTAACATCAGCCTGGAGTGGGGAGCAAAAGACAAAGGAAGATTCAACTGGTATCTTATTGCCGGTACTTTACCGGGTGGGTTCTGGGAGCGGGAGGGTGAATTGCCCATCACCGTGGAAAAACAGACACTTATTTTATGTCTTGGCTACTTGCTCCCTGGTGCTCTGAGATTTTCTGCATGACTGTGTCTGCACTTACCACTCAGGCTCAAATTGGCTTAAAAAGGAGAAGCTGACTGGGAGAAGGTGAGCACACGCAGATTCATTTAGCAGCTAAGCCCACTTATTGAAGACTTCGTGTTACATCACCTTTGCAGAGTTTTCCCTGCCTGATTTCCTCTCCTGGCTACCAGGAGAGAGAGTTTTTGGCAGTTATTCTAAACTTCTGTAAAGTCTGTGTGATACAGTGGAGGAGAGTGATATGTTCACATTGAAATGATGGTGACGTGTCCTCTTGGCCAGTGGAGACGTTGTAAAATTAAAAAGCATAATAAAGATACTTATCAAATTTTTCTTCATAAAAAATTATAAACCAATGAGGTGGATGTGATTCTGTAGACTGGGTAAAAGCCATATTGTCCAGCTGTTGTGTTGGTTTCCTCTCCCAGTTTATTTTTTTTTTAATCATATTGGGGATTCATTTTACACGCTTCCTGATGAATGTTATACTTGGGGTTTGTTTTATTGTGCTGGAGTTGAGCTTTTGCCTTTTAAAGACGTTTCTCTTGATTTGTGAGACTTGATTTTAAAGAGTTTTCTCTATGATTTGTGAAATCATAGAACCATAGAATGGTTTGGGTTGGAAGGGACCTTAGAGTTCCTCCAGCTCCAACCCCCTGCCATGGGCAGGGACACCACTAGACCTAGACCAGGTTGCACAGTTTAAGGGTGGGCTGTGGTCTGAGAATGAGCTGGACAGTGGAGACCAGTGACAGCCCTTGGAATCCTTGGAACTCTTGCAGAAATGTGTTGTGGTGTGTTTTGGGGTGTTCCTCACTGCTACGGGGAACTCAGGAGCAAATCCAAGCAAATGGACTTTGATCAAACGACACGGTTTAGCCAAAGGAGGAGAATTGGTCTGTGGGCAGTTCATCTTCTCTGGGAGTGACTTTGGAAAGTGGCTGGAAGAGTTCTCAGGGTGTTGCCAGTGCAGGTGCTGCACCTGTGCCCAGGTAGCCAGGGAAGGATGTTCACCTGAGCTGGGCAGGGACAGGCAGAGTGAGAGGCACTGCCTGCCCCCCTCACTGACCTGTCACACTCACTATCCTCAAGCAGCAAAATTAGCATTATTTTCCCATATTTTTTCCTCATTAATTTTATCCTCTGGCTCCTTTCAGCCCAGAGAAAATTCTTTGCAAGTTCCAGCCCTTAATCCTCTAACTACAGTTACTCTATCAGCATTTCCAAAGCTGAGGGAAAGCCAAAGGATCTGCTGAAAAGCCCCCAGCCTGCAGATGAGAATTTCATGTCTCAGCTGGAGAGCAAGCAGAAATTCTGCTAAAGAAATCTCTTCCAGGTACATGGTGGTCACAGGGAGAGAGAACCAACCGGTCCCAATCCCCCTTGTTGAAATAATGATGCCTAAAGATGCTAAAACTTACTGGGAATATCCCTAAGCACAACCTAAAATGTGCTTCACGGATTCTGAGCAACTTAGCTGGAGACTTTTTGTTAGTGGAAATCTATTCTCTTTTTTGATCATTAGCATTTCTCCTCAGTGTTCACTTAAACTTAGCTATCGTGTTGCTATAACAGCATTTCTAAAAGGCTTTGACATTCAGCTCAGGTGGCTTATTTTTCATATCACTTCTTTTTATAAAATATCTAAAAAAAACCAAAGTCTATTCATGTATCAAGATGTTCTGACTTGCTATAAAGAGACTGTCAAAGTTTGTTCTTGAGTATTGTTTCGCTTTTTGATAAGAAAATGAGATTAAATGGCAGAGTCTGTTCTTCTCGGGACTTTTTCATCCTTTTCAAAAGTGAAGCAGAACCAAAAAGCAAATGTGCAGTGAAACAGTGATGTTTAAAGCCAGAATTTTAACCCTTTCATCCCTGCTGGTAAAACCATTTGGAAAACTAGACCTTCTTGGGCAATTCTGTGGTTATTTTCCTGGTACAACCCAAAGGTACCTCTGTCCATCCAGCTTTGTGTCCAGAGGTTTGAGTGGTGCTAAATTTAATGGTACTGGATTGTATAAGGAGTATCTGATGTAAATGGTTGTCCTATAAGGGAGAAACAGCTCCCATTCAGTGGGATATTTCCATTAGGGAACCCTGGTGTCTGTGGTTGAATACTGAATTTGGAAACAAGCTGGAATGCAGGGAGGGTGGTGTCTGCTTTGTTATCAGCTACACATTTACCTCTCCTAACTCTGGGACATATATTGAAGCATGAGAAATTCAGATTGGTTGAAAAACAGATTAATTTGAAGCCTGTGGGTTGATAGATTTGTCTTTGGACTGGTGCCATCACAGTCTGCTGAGCTGAGGGGCCATTGACAGTTTTAAGGTCCAGTGGCTCATAAAACTCGAGGCTTAGGAGTGGCTGATTTACATCACTGCAAAGTTAGAAATCTCAGCTTTCCAGTAATAAAAAGGGATTTGTTTTGAACAGTGGCAGTTTGAGATATAGGGCTTTAAAACTGGGCTCTGATTTACCAACAGGCACTTTCTCAGACTTAATTTCTGGTGTGAGTTTAGCACACCCTTCTCAAAGACTGAGCTCTGGACCAAACCCCGTGGTTATAAACTACAGGAGTCTGAAACTACTGTGAAATGTAATAGCTCCCCTTAGTTGTTTTAAGGAATTTGCTGATGTAATATTGCAGAAGAATCATTGATGCTGAAGTAGGAAACTAAGGAAAACAGCAATCAGAGGGAATTGAGTATTTGATCCTCATCCAGGCTCAGAAATTGCAAAACTAGTGCAATTGTAGGACTAGTGAGCTCTGGACAGAAAACATCATAACTTGAGCTCAAGAGCTGAAAAATAAGGCACGTGCACAGATTACTTATGAATGTATAAGGTGCAATTTAATTAATTAAACTGCTTGATATCAAGGTGGACTTGCTGTCCATGGCTTTGGTTGGTTTGTGCAGGGGTTTATGAGGTGTTGATGTAAATGTTACTTCAGCATTTTAGGGCTTTGTTCTGTTAGAAGTTTAGACATAATAAGTGATGCTCCCTGCCACAGAGAGCTTACAATTCCTATTATTAGCTATTTCAAAACAAGTTCTTTGCACAGTGGAGAGAAAAAAGGAGGAAGAAGCAGAAGAATGAACAACCCCAAGAGACAATTTTGAGCCGTCGCGGTTTCCACCGAGCCCTGGGGTTTGTCCAAGTGTGAAACCAACCCCTCACTCAGTGCTCGCTGTCCACTCATCTGTTCAACCTCTGTCCAGTCTGAGCTGAAGTTAAGTACCTTCCACATGTGGGAAAAGTTAGAAACTGGGCATTCTTCCAGCTACTGAAATCCTTCTGAAATCCTTCAATGGCTGATGTAACTGAGCGGCGTGGAACGGGCAGACGGGAGGAGGAGTCAGGGAGGGATCCTGCCTGTCAAGGGATGGCTCTTGGTCCTGCAGAAAGAGTTTGGGCGTTGAGAGAAGGAAGTTTGAATCACTTAATGTCTCTTTTGGACATTGAATGAATGATATGTGCACCCTTATAACTAGACATGGCCCCGCTATAACATTTTCTGGATTTCTTTATGTATCGTTTCTCTCTCTCTTATATCCTCTCTATCCTGTTGCTGGCAAAACAGCAGCAAAAAATCCCCACCTTAGAGATATCTAGATGTAGAATTTAAAGAATACTAGTTAATATAAATACATGAATTGTATTCCATAGCATGCCCCTCACAAACCAGTGTGAGATTTTGCTGCTCAGCTCATGGAGTCAATGGGAATAACTCTCCACTTCTGATTTTTGTTTGGCTTCTGCATGAGCGACTCACCCAAGATAAATCCACCCTGAGCTGATCTCGTCGCAAGGAATTTCTCCAGATTCACATCCTTAATTGTCTGTAGCTTCAATTAAACCAAGGTGGGATGTTGCCAAGTTTTCAGAACTTCCAACTGGAGCGTCCCAGGGCACGAATAGCCCGTGGCATTTTGTATTCTTTGGGCAGCAGGGGACAAGGTTGCCAAGTTTGCATTCAGTCATCCATCACATATTAGCCCACTGGAGGTCCATTCTTCCCTAGCAATGGGGGAGCTCTGCTTCCTACTTAGAAAGATTACTCACACAGAAAGCCCTTTCCCCCAAACCAGGCAAGAGAAAGGGACCTTTCTTCAATTCACAGAAACGCTCCCTTTCCAAACTCTCCACAAAAATGATATTGTTTCATGCTTAGAAAACATATTCTTTTTAGTAATTGAGCCGAAAGTGCAGGGTGGCAGGACAGAAATCTTTAATACAGATTTTCAAAACAATTCCTTGAATCACAGGCACAACAAAGGTCTATTG